TAAAAAAAAAAAAAAAAAAAAAAAAAAAACCATATAAAGCCGAAACATATGGCCGAATCGTCGAATCTTTCCAAATTGAATTGGAGGCTTCCAATTTGATTCGTAGCGATTAATGGGTCTCCTGATTCAATTCGGAGTCGGAGATTCAGCCACCAAATTGGGCCGAATCTGCTCCCAATCAAATCAGCAACTGAAGCTAAGCACAGCCCTAATACAGAAATGTTCTGTGGAAATTGTGGACTGAATACCTGTGTTTCAGCAATAGTAAAAAACCTGTGTTTAGTTAGAGTCCTTGTGCTGGAATAGAGATGATAAATCATATTAGGACTATCGGTAAAGTTTCCAAGCATGCTCTTTTCACTCCATTGTATTAACACCATTGTAACTGAGCTCAAAATACAACTTTTTTGTGATTCCTCCAGGCGGAACCAACTTTGCTTGCTGAAGAAATGGAAGTTTTTTGATGGATACCATCTCCGTCTTTTTTTAATAAAGAACCTTTCTGTTTTATACAGGCCATGGATTTAAAAATAAAAAAGTTGATGTCAGGTCCAAAATGTAACTTCTTTATCAACGGCGATACTTGTCCTGAATTGGTGAATTTCTGAGACTTGCATGATCTAAATGGAATTCTGTAATGACAGGAAGCCAAGGCAGCGGTGGAAGAGACGAGAGCTTTGCGAAGCAGGATTCATCTTGCAGAAGCCGCACAGAGGCAGGCTCGTGGGATGGAGATGGACTATGAAGAAGTAATCCACCTATTAGAGGCTGAAATTACAGAGCTGAAGGCTCAGCTCACTGATCATCCTGGCCAAAATAAAGTAAGCAAAGCAGTTGTCTTTCGTAGTTACCATGGTTTCCTTGCTGTTGTCATGTATCCTGTTTTCATTTTCTTTTCATCTGCTCTTCTAAAGTAGGTCACTGTTTGTCTTGTATTATTCAATAACTGGAATGATGCATAGTGTGTCTTCCTTTATCCAGAAATCTTTAGGCTGGGGGAAAAACATGAGCCAAAAGCTTATTTGGGTCACTAGTCATTATGACACATCTCAAGCAGTATAGAGTAGGGAACGCTTTGCTTTGTTTGGTTTGGTTATTTGTTTTTTTTGTCCTATGTCTTAATTTAATATATATGATATAAAAATGAGACAAAGAAAAATATATGTGTTGTAGTTGATAACAGCTTTCATGAAAGTGTGAAAGACCAAAGGATTTTTCAGATTCCAAGATGAATAAATTCACTTACATATTTTGCTCAATTTCTTTTTTTTAAATCAGTGCAAGCGTGCCTTGAGTAAGGACTTTTCCCTTTTTTAATCTTGGTGTGTTTCTAGTACTTCTTGCCCAATCCTAAGTGATGCAAAAAGAATCGTATATAAAATCCAGGACTGTTCATGAACAAATTCAAGCTTACTCAAGCTTAGCATTTTAAAGGCACATTAGAAACATTTTTATGATTTTCATTTAAAATCTGAATTATTTTAAATGAAAAGGATGGTGCACCTGAGCCTCATGCTTGAAGCCACTTGTTATTCCCAATGAGCTGTTTTTAGATACTATTTCACAAATCAAATAATTTGGGGTAATTTTGAATTGGCCTTTATTACTAACAATCTGTTTGCTGCATATGTAAGACCAGCACCAGCATAAGCAAACCGAGTAACAGCCAGTGAATTGGCAGTGGGTCATATACCACAGATCATCTACCAAGCCTGATGACCTGTCTCTCACAGTAGAAAAATGAATGCTAAGGGGAAGAATATTCGAGCAGAGCATATCCAGAATGATCTATTCCTTTGGCTCTCTCTTTTGTTTTGCTGGAAGTTCACCCTTCTCATCTGACTGGCTAGGCTGCAGTACTGCAGAGAAGGACCTGCGGGATTACAGTAGACTATAATCTCAGTATGAGCCAACAGTGTGCTCTCGTTGCCAAAAAGGGCCAACAGTATCCTAGGTTGTATTAACAAGAAGGTAACTTGCAAATCAAGAGAAGTGATTCTTCCACTCTGTTCAGCACTGGTGAGGCCTCACCTAGAGTATTGTGTTCAGTTTTGAGTCCCAAACTTCAAAAAGATACAGAGAGTTTGGAAAGAGTCCAGCAGAAAGTAACAAAAATTAGTAGAGGCCAGGAAATATGAATTCTACTGAACGGCTGAAAGATTTGGGGTCATTTAGTCAAAGACCTGAAGAGAAGTCTAAGGGGGGGGTCTGACAACAGCCTTCAAAGACCTGAAGGGTGATGGTAGGTTAGATGGAGATTAGAGGGAACTTCCCAATTATGAAGGTAGTTGAGCACTGGAACAGGCTAGCTAGAGAGGTTGTGATTCTCCATCACTGGGAATTTTTAAAAGCAGGTTAGGCAGACAGCTGACTTTTATACTCTAGGCTGGGGTGCTTCTGCCTTTAACAGGAGGCTGGATTACTTTAGGAAGTCCCTTCCAGCCCTGCTTTCTTATGATCTTGAAAAGGAGTTCAGTGTTGAAAAGTAAAATGGTGGTACTGGAGCCATAAATTTCAGAAAACTGATACTCTACTGCCTTCCATGCCTTTTGTGTAGCCATTTAGGGCCATATTTCCAAGAGATAAGCTCACATATTAGTGCTGATATAAGTGCCCTGCTTTTCAAAAATGCCAAGTGTGGTTGGTTCATGTTGGCTATTAAACGTTTTTGACAATTTCTGAGGTGAGCGCTCAGAAATCTGGTCTTGAGCCCTTATGAAATATGACTTGGGGCCTGGCTTTCTATTCATCCTTTTCAATGTTAACACTCCAGTAGGTTCAGGATAAGCCCCAGTAGCAGTACAAAGTTGGTGTAAAATGCTTGCCTTTGATGTAAGTGATGATATGAGGAGCAAGGCAGTAGAGCATCAGGCCCTGTCAGTAGGAGGCTTTGAACTCTTTTTATTTAACATATGCAGCCAGTAGTTTTACGTAAGAGGTATTGATCAGTTCACCTTGTTCTTTCCTTGTTCTTTAAGTACAGAGCTTTAAGAAGAGCTTTGCTCCACTTTGCCATTAGATAACATCTTAAAGCTAAAAAGAGAGAACTGTACTTAGTAAAACAACTGCAATTGGCTGCATTTAATAAAATCCTAAGTAGGCGTAGGAGCTCCTTTTTCAATACTGAACAGTGAGATATACAATACCATACAGAGGCTGTCTAATCAAGCAGACTCTGAAGTTCAGGATGCTGGGGATCCTGCCAAACAAAACTATTATAAATGTGTATTTGTGTTCTTCCAATGACAATATATTTAGTATTAAAAAGGTGCTCTGTAGAAGTTATAAGCCTTCCACTAAGATTGATTCAGACTGTAGGGTTTTGGAGACACTCGCCTAGAGTACACTCAGTGTTTGTTTTATCAAGCAAAAACATTTTCTGCCCTTTCTCCTAGGACATATTTTGGTTCAAATTTTCTGATCAGTGTACAGCTCAAACATAGGAACATGCCCAAGATCATCTTCATCCTATCACACAGGAATTGAAACGAGGACTCATAGAGTTGAAAGCAAGAGTGTCTGCTTCTTGAGGGCTTGAGTCGGGTTTTATAGCTAAGGTTGTAACAGACTTAGGATATGGAAACACATTATATTTGTAGCACTATGACCAGTACAAAGAGTGGGCATGAGTATGTTCGCGCCATTTGTAACACCACAGAAATGGTAAATCCACCCCAGAAATGTTCATCTTCCAAAGAGGAACTTCTCCATAACATTGTGTAGCACCACGTGTATCATGAAGAGCTCCTAACATCCTCTACAGATCAGGCACAACGTGTAAGAAACACTGATCAGTGGATTATACACATGCATATAGTAAAATCTCAGTTGTTTAACATTGTTCAAAGCATGCCACAGCTTTCTGTCTCAGAGTACATAGGTTAATACAACAGACCTTTGTTAATGCACACTTTTATCGTTCATGCTTTATAGATGCACGTAATAAATGGATCAGTCCCCACTTAGCAAAAATAAAAGGGCAGCATTCAGTTCTCATGTAACTGAGCTGTGCTTTTTTCAAAATACTCTGTTTTTCAAAATACTCTGTATGTTATAAGTGTCCATTTATCGAAATACCGAATGCAGTATGGTGCATTCTTCTTTTTTTTGTCATTAACTGAGTAATTAGCTGTAAGTGTTTGAACGATGAGTTGATTTTCGTGATCCATCATGTCTGAATCGGCACTCTAGGGCTGTGTCCAGATGACCACTGCTGTGTGATATGTGGCACCGCAGACCTGTCTGTTGCACCACACATTGCACATTCAGGCACTTCCCACGCTGCTGCCTTGGGGGGGTTGACCCTGGGAGATCCCGTTGCTGGTCCTAGCCTCCCCTATCTCACTCAGGGTATCCTGCCGCATGCCAGAGGGTGCATAACACAAGGTGTGCCACTGCTAGTTATCCTTAGGGAACCGAACAACCACACTCATCTGGACATGGTTTATGGGACTACTAGGAGATCCAGCACTTCATTGTATCTCTTTCTGGAAAAAAAAACAAAAAAGAGAAATGTGGAGAGAAGTGGTGACTCTCAGCAGTCTCCCACAGCAACACCTCGATCACTGTGGGAGATCTGATTCCCAACTCCCTCTCTAATGAATAGCTGAATCAGAACTATTTTGTTCAGTGGGTTCACTATCAGCTCTAAAGCTAGAAGGCCATGTGGGAAAAAGAGAGAGTTTCACTGGACTTGAAGGAAAGCAGAACACAGCCCTAGAGATGGGAAAGCAGCAGGGTCAGGGGAAATCATTCAAAATCCACAGGCTTACTAAATTGTCTTTGAACACAGTTTATTTTCAAAGAATAGTATTATTTTAGAGGCTATTTTTAGTTCTTCCTAGTCCTTTTTTTAATCAAACAATAATTTGGTTTGTTTTCACCCTAAAAATGTTAGATTTGCCCTCCCTACCCCATCAACTGTCGTATGAGAAAGTAGAAAAATGACAAATAAGAGAAATTGATAAAGTGTTAGAATTAATCCAATGATACTGACTGAATTCCTTTGCCAGGATAGTACGCATGATTTACGAAAGAGAATCGCAGTGCTAGACTGCCAACTACGGAAATCAGAAGCATCTAGGAAAGCCTTTGAAGTGGCCACTGAAAAACTGCTGCAGTTCACAGAGGTAATTTTTCCACTTCCAATTTCTTCAACAACGTTTTTATATAGGAAATATACAAGGTAATACATCTGGTGTATGACCATGATATATAGAGTATAACTGTCTTAAAGAGACAGTTTCACAATTTTAAGCAACCTGCTAGAATAGGATGTGACAGCAGAATTTGATGTAGCGGTTTGTGAATCCTGTTTGTTGCTGTGTGCATTGCAAGTAGATTGGATGAGAATTTTTGTTAAAATAGCTTTTCATCAAAAAAACGGTGTTAATGGAACCAAAATGTTTCGTAAAGTCATATGTCAATGTCTATAAAAAATTCCCTTGGAAAAAAAATTCAAAATGAAAAAAAACAAACCTACATTGAACACCTTCAGGAGCAAATTGGATGCTTATCTTGCTGGGATCCTATGAACCCAGCTGACTTCCTGCCCTTTGGGCGGGGGGCTGGACTCGATGATCTTCCGAGGTCCCTTCCAGCCCTAATATCTATGAAATCTATGAAATTTAGAATTCAAGTTGCTTCTCTCAAAATGTTAACTAAATTCATGTTCGAAAATTAAAGGAAAGCTATAAATCATTAAGCAGAGGTTATTTTGAAAATATGTTGGAAGCCAAAATGGTAGCTTTGTATATGTTTAATCCAGTTTACCTTATTTAGTACTATTTTACTAGCCAGTTTTTCTCTGTGCTGCTTGAACAGGTTATAGTCACTGAAGTTATGGCCCATTATTATATTTGCTTTGCATAACAGAAAGGTTTAAAGCAGGAAAATGTGTGTCATGTATGTGCAGGGAGACATCATTATATGCATTTTATATGCCAGTTTTTGTTTACCTGTCCCATGACAGGAGCAAAGTGTTACCTCCGATTATTCTCTGTGGATAAAGGATTACGGGGTATAAGCACAAAGCTCGTGGAGGGAGGGAGGGAAAATCTGTAAGTAGACAACAAAGCAATGTGGATGGTACATTGAACTTCTGCAATATTAACTATGCATTTCCTTAACACTTGCCAACAGATTGTACACGAAGCCCTGTCAGAAAACTCCTCTTTGTCAGCTTTAAGGTAAGTGCACCTAAACTACTTGTGTTGATATGATACAATATGACAACCTTTGTGGCAGAATTAGAAGCCCCCTGAAACCACATCTTAAGCCAGGGTGGGCAAAACGGCAGATCCGGCTGGCAGCCAGACTCTATTTCCCACCAAACCCTGCCTGAATGGGTGGGGCCAGTCTCCATGGAGACCCCAGCCACAGCTGCAAGGCTGGGGTTGCCATGGAGACTGGCCCCAGCTGCGCTGGAAAGACACACGGCAGGGCAGGGCATGGGGCTGCTTCGGAGCCGCTGGGTTCTTGTGGCAGTGACAGATTGGTTCAGGGCCATGGCAGAGCCATGATCCGCTGCCTACATGCCCCTGTCCAGAGCGTGCAAGCTGCAGATCGCAGCTCTTCCCCTGCTCCGTACATCACTGACAGCGTAGTCCTGAGCCAGGGCAGAGCTGCGATCCGCTGCCTGCATGCCCCTGCCCGGAGCATGCAGGCTGCAGATCATGGTTCTGCCCTGGCCCCAAACCAAGCTGCCCCTGCCACAAGATCCCACTTCCAAAAAGAGCGGGGAGAAATCACCTACCTCAATCTGCTAGAAAGGGGATTGGCTTCAAGCCATCTACAAGCAAATACAGGAGAAAATTGGGTGTTCCTTCTCAGTTCAGTTCCCTTCTGAATTTTTCCTCTTCCCATTGAAGCCAACAGCAAGCTTCCTGTTGATTCCAGTGGAAGTAGCGTCATGTTGCCTATTCATATAATTTTTTTAACTGTTGTGCATTGCAGAGGTACTCCCATGAAAAGAATAGCAGTGTAATGTAAACAAAGTGGTTGTGTCTACTGTATTTACTTGAAGACAACTCTGATTATAAGACAACATCCCAATAATTAGTTTCTGTATATACAAAATTTTTAAATTTGTTATAATTTTCCAGGTAGAGAATCTAATTTTTGGACGTTTGCCTTGAGTTTGTCCCCCTCCCACAGCTACAGCAGGGAAAATAAATCTGGGAGATCAGGTAGCCCTTTGCTCTCTGCTTCCTGAAAACTTTTTCCCCTGCCACCACCTTGCCCCTCCCCTAACTGTCAGACCCTGCTCTCCCTGAGCACATGGAAGTGAGGAGCAAATTTGAAAACAGTAATCTTGAAATTAAACATGCCTGTAGCAATTTACATACAGTACCCATAGATTTAGTTCATCCAAAATTCATGGAATCATAGAAGAATTAGGGTTGGACCTCAGGTCATCTAGTCCAACCCCTTGCTCAAAGCAGGACCATCCCCAACTAGATCATCCTAGCCAAAGCTTTGTCTACCCAGGCCTTAAAAACCTCCAAGGATGGAGATTCCACAACCTGTCTGGGTAATCTGTTCCAGTGTTTTGATGCATGTTACCTTTTTTTGAAACTGCTGCAAGTTGTAGCACAGATGTTTCATAAACACACTTTTGAACAGCACTGTGGCACCTACTTATATCACTGGGCTGGGCTCCACCAAAATCAACAGCATTGCAAGCTATGGTGAACCATGCTATTGCATATAGTTCACCCAGAATCCCTCTGTCACCTCCTTTCTCAGTGTGGAGCATACAGTTAATGTGGCCCCACCCCCATGGTGACCCCACAGCTCAGCACTGTTCAGTATGTATGTGTATACTCCAGATGCCCCCCACAGAGGATCCATGTGGTAATTAGTCCACTCGTGACTAAAACCGGGTGTTCTTGTCACAAGTCCTGGGATTCTCCAAAAATGTATGTGCAAGACAGCTTGGTCTGTCTTCACTTTATAGTGAGCAGGGTCACACTATTCATATGTGCAAGCCTGAGAGTGGGTGTGACAGAGAGATTCCAGGTGAATTGTATGCAGCGTTGTGGTTCATGGTGACTTGAAAAAGAGTCAGCAATGAGGGGATTTGCACTTAATGGGTACTAGCATATGTCTTATTCAGATGGATTGCACTAACCTATCCTTGGGGTTGGTTCCCATCAACAAGTTTGCCCAATGTGGGCCATGTGTTTTATAGTCATACTCTGTTGGCTGCATTTAATCAACTTCAGTTGGTTTCCATTGCTGAGCACATGCTGCTTTTACAGCAGTTTAATGATAGACAGTGTATTTAGTGAGACTTCCTTGTATGCCATTATAAGATGAGGGGCTTTTTTCCCCATGCCATTTCAGGGGAGAGGGGGGACCTCATTTTGTATTCGAGTTAATATGGTAGATAAAATAGAAATTCAGTGGCAGCAGAAAATACCCATAAAGGAAAGTACTTAAGAAAGTGCTTAATGGATTCGGGATCCAGACCATTGGGGTGTGCAAAGTGGGTCCTATTCGATTCGGCTGAATCTGAAGATTCGATGCCAGTTCGGGGAATCAGCGATTCGGACATAGATACAGCTTTAAAAGTTTTTTCTATGCACCGCGAGGTACTAGCGCAACTCATGAATGCTGTGATGCTGGGACAGATGGAGTGTCCCACAGGAGTACAGGGGGGTACTCCACATGCTCAGCACTGACCTTGCAAGTGGACTGGAAGTACTTCCAGTCCACTTCTGAGTCCACTGTCAAGCATGCAGGGGGCCCCCCACGCCACCCTCCCCCCCCTCCTGGCTCAGCGATTAGCTACAGGAGGACCCCAGGTGCCCCCCACGCTTTGTGGGATCCTCCATGCACCCCAGCATCACAGCATTCACGAGCCATGCCGGTACTTAGAGGTATGTAGAAAAAATATTTAAAGCTGTGTCTGTATCTGAATCTCCAAATCTCTCCGAATCGACTCAGAGGGTTCCAATTCGATTCAGAGAGATTAAAGGGTCTTCAGATTCTGAGATTTGGCCACCAAATTGGGTGGCCAGTGAAATTTAGTGAACCACACGTACATTTGAGTTTCGGGAGTCTGGCTATTTTTCACTACGTTTTTTTCTTTATTCATGACTAGCATGATAATACAAATTGGACTTTTGTTATCATCATTTTTTATTTATACACTACTCCACAACTTCTCAAAGTAGATGGTGTCAATTCATAAAAAAGCATAATTTTAATTCTTATTATAATGACACCATTTTCATTAAAGTAACTCTGTTGACTTCATAGGGAGCAACTGCGGTTTTTAAAAGTCAGGATTGGAGCCTTTGCACCCTTTTATGTGGACTTGTGATTTATATTGCAAATGTCAAAATTCTCACTCACTTTAGTTGTATTTTTAACATAGTCTTCCTTTCCCCTACTCTTCTCCCCTTCTACTACCCCCCTTGAGTGTGTATTTATGGGAAACATAATTTTATGTATCTGGGCTGGAGGTATGGCTATTGTCACTGTTGGATCTGCATATGCATGACTTGGGCTATCAGAATGATGTATGACTGGTGCTGTCAGAATGCCTGAGAGTATTCAGGGAATTCATCAGCTTTTCATAACCACTTTAACAGGGTCTGAGCAGAAGTAACTTCCCTAGGTTTCACAGCAAGTCTCAGACAGAGTGGAAGATGGAAGGTTGCCCTGACTATACCTTTTCTTTTTGACTGAATAGGTATCTAGAAAATATTTTATACATTGGAGATGCCTATAATAATAATAATAAACCAACAGTAAAGCTTTCCTACATATGAAAAGGCCATCTTCATGTTTTCTTTTTCTACAGCTTTAACACAGTCGAGCTCTGGTCCATGACTGGGTCTCCTCAATGTTACTCCAATATAAATAACCACAAGATGACTTCAGGCCAGATTCTGGTTCCAGTTGGGTTGTTTCACAGAGTGTGTAAGAGCTGTGTTGATTCACACCAGCTGAGTTTCTGGGATCTGGTCTCAGAAATGCATAATTTTTGTTTTAATTGAACTGCCCCAAAAACTCTTTTTATTACTAAGACAAAATAATCTTTGAGGAAGTCTCCGGAATTTGGTAATGTAATCCTTTTTTTTTTCCTGAAGTGAGATTTAAACCAATCAAGAAATATGTAGTTTTTTATTAAAAGGAATATTTCTCCTTGCAATCTGCCAAATAAACAATTATTTCCTTTCAGTGATAGAAGAGCCACGTTGTCAGCTAAGACGCTACTTGCACGACTGGGGAAGAACGGACATACAGTCACAGCAGCCCTTGGAGCTGAAGCCAAAGACCTTGCTAAATCTGTCCGTGCCATTCTAGAAGTAGACTGTGAGTGTGTGTATCTGTATGTGTATATATGTATATATATTCTATAATTTTTTTCCCCTCTTCTTGCACTGTTTCTCAGTTTCACCTTTCACTTGGCAATTTAGGGCAGAATGTTTCAGCAGTTGTAAATGAAACATTCAGCATGTACAGACATTCACTTTCCTAGGAGAAACTCTCCTGGGAGTGATTTTAACCCTGGTTATTGCCAGGTTATTTTTCTCCTGAAGTGGCCTGTTTTTACTTTGGAACAAAGAGCCTGAACATTTGTACACTCGTGATTTCTCCTGGGAGATCAGCGACTCTCCCAGGAGAAACTGAACATCTGTACAAGGCCATTGGCAAGAAATATGTCAGTAAACCTAACTCGTAATTGTAGAAAAAGTCTCAGAAGGAAACAAATCTGGAAAAATCCTCACTTGATTAAAAATTGCTGAAAGGGTTCATATACTCATAGGATTTAGAGCTTGTTTTGGAATCAAGAGCTGAAAGGACATTTTATGTTTATGATGTAAGATGTTGATCATCAGCCCGTGTTAGGGCTTCACTGTTGATGTACCCATGCTCATAATTGTAAATAGCTGACACAACAGGAGAAGGTGCACAGAAAAAACTAATTATAATGCTAAAAGTCTTATTATAGAAGGAAAAAGCACATCTTAAGCTCACATACCTACATCCTGCCTCATATTTTAGTCTACAGAGAAGGGTTATTCTGGTAGTCCAACCTTTTAACAACATAAATATATTAATACTCACTTTTCTGTTGATTTTTAGCAGCATAAATTGGCAAAAAATATTGTCAGTAGAGTTATATTGGCTGAAGGGAAAGAATTAGACATGATGTGAAGGCCAAAAGAAAAAGGAAATAACATTCCAGCAGAAAGATTATCCATTTCCCTGAGCAATACAAAATTAGTCTTTTCTTCAGGCCTTTTTAGTAGTTATATTTTGAATGAACTGTCTTCTCAGAGGTGGAAGACGGGCCTGTATGGATTAATAATAAAAAATGATCAATATTACTTGCAACTGCCTGAAAGAAAAGATAGTCAGTCACTAGTTTTAACAGTGCTACAATCACTGAATGCAACAACTGTCAAACATGTATTGTTAAAGTATAGAAGCTATAAATGGAACAATGTATCTTGTATCTTTTCATTAAGAATCTATTAGTATGTTTGATATCTTGGTTCATAATTAACTGTCATAAATGAAAAAATCCAGATTTGGGAGTAAGTACCGAGCAGAGCAGTCTGACAGTTTGGTGTAATAGGAAAGTATTCGATAGCAGTGTGCAGAGTTGACTGCATTCTTACTCTTCCCATTTCAATTTATAATGTTTTTCCTTTTACGCCAGGGCTCCTTTACATTGTAAGTGGGCCGTGGGTTCAGTGAGAGTTAGCAAGTTTCTACTACTTTGAACTGATTTCTGGAATATTTAGCATGGCTTGCCACTGCTCTGATTTTCATTTCACTCATAGGAGTTGCTAACCCCCAAAATCCTGAACTACTTTACGTTTGGCTGTTCAGGCCTTATGTGTGTCTCAGCCATGACATGCAGGTTAGTAGCATTTCAGACACTAGCAGCTGTCTCTAGAATTAGCAGTGTTTCTCCTTCCTGGTGCACTCACAATAGTAATCTGTATATCCTCCTTGACTTTAGGCAGAGCTATCAAAATACCGCATACATATCTTATTGTCAATGGAGGGAAATAATAATTGACCTTGTTTATGTGAACTGGATATGCTCTCTAATTCATTGAAGGTCATGTAATTAATCATAGTGAGACTTTTATAGAAAGCATATAACCCTACAAAAAGTAAACAAAATGAAACATAGTACCTTATTACTGCCAATGTTTTCAATTAAAACTAGGTCATAGAAGGATGTTGCATTGCTAATATTCCCTTAAGAAAATATATTAGCTACTTCCTTAAATTATTTCTAACCAGATGCTTGTTGCTTGGTTGGTTATTTTCAGTTTAAAGTTTCAGAAATGTATATTACTCTGAAAAAGGAGAGCAATCTTGTCATGCCTTTCTTCCTAGCTAGATCAGCTTTTTTTCCTAGAACACAGCAGTTTAATAAATCAAGAAAACATTTATTCTGTGATTTAAGATGGCAATAGGTAGACATTTCAGAAAGAGCTGGTATAAGAATTCAGAGCTATTGAATCTAAGGCATCTAATTCTGGAAAGTTTGTCTCGGCAAATAAAAGATTAAGTTGCCAGTAATAGAATGCAACAAAGCCAATGTCTTGTAATGGCGATTTCAATTATTTTTTCACTGCCATGCAGCCAGTCTTTCAAAGAGTTACAGTGATAGCTGAGTAGATCTGGCTTTTACTTTTAATTCAATTCTTCTACCTTCCCTTCTTTCTTGCAAAATACACCTTTCAGCTTTCTAGCAAAGAGGGTACTTGTTTAATGAAGAAATCATGAAGAGAACTGCTAACTTGGCAGTAATTTCAGCCCTTTGCAGTAATATCCATCGCACTTCATAAAACGCATGGCAAGTACTTCAGATGGTTTCATTTGTTAACTCTGAGAGGGAAGTCCCGTAAGTACCGTAAAGAGTTTCCAGACACTTGGGGTTCTCCCTTTCGTTGGCCCTGATACAAAACTCATTGAAGTCAATAGAAAGATTCCTGTTGACCTCAGCGAGCCGGCCAAACTCCTGACGGCAAACTGTAGTCTGGAATGCCAGCTTTACAGACACGGGTATTTGTACTGCACAGGCATAGTTTCTTCTTTCAAGAGGCCAAAGTTTGATCAAAGTGGTAGTGATCTTCAAAGTCTTTTACAAAGCTGAGCATCATTTAGGGATTTTTCCTGCTTGTTGATGAAATCATGCAAAGGCTAAAGGGAACAAATACTCTCAAAGCTGTTAAACCTACTAGCAGTCCATTAGAGAAAGAAGTGGTGTTTTATGTGTAGTGAATCTGGTGGAAGACACTATTAGTAACAATTGTATCAGAGGTTATTTTCATTAGGTATGCCACCTAGTTCTAATCCTAAATCTCTGCTATATTTTTATTTATAGAAAGACATTAGTTTGAGCCATAATTAAAGTTGAAGCCAGTCTTCTTTTATAAGCTTCAATTTTTTCATGTAAGCCGACACCTTTGTTAAATTGAAGGCAGTGTACCTGTAATGTTTTAGTTATCAACTTGTGCCAGAATTTGATATTTTCTGGGAAATGTAAAACAGGTTGGGTGAGAAATTTCAGAGTTGTTGGGGCTTCAGAAGTGTGCAAAACTAACTGAATTACTTGGGCTTATAATGCTTTACTGTTACGCTATAATATTGTAAAGTGTTTCTCTACTGAATTTACTGGTATATGTGAACATTTATATTTTCATAGAATCACATAATCATAGAAGTCAGGTCGGAAGGGACCTTGTAGATCTTCAGGTCCGACCCCCCGCCTGGGTGGGAGAAAAGACTGGACACAAATGAGTCTCGCCAGGTAGTCATCAAGCCTCTTCTTAAAGATCCCCAGGGTAGGAGCCAGCACCACTTCCCTAGGAAGTTGGTTCCAGCTCCTAGCCGCCCTAACTGTGAAGTAGTTCTTGCGGATGTCTAATCTAAACCTACTCTCTAATAATTTGTGTCCATTGTTCCTTGTCATGCCAAGGGGCGCTAGGGGAAACAGTGTCTCCCCTAAACCCTTCTGGTCCCCCCTAGTGAGTTTATAG